GACTGGTGTTTTCGGTGGGCATCGGATACCTTTTGACCGAGCAATCCGACTGTAAAGCGTGGACCCGTCATTTTCTTAAGTATGGTGAATCACCTAATGAGGCCTGGAACCAGTGGAAAGGCACTTATCATCTGAGTATGATTATGTGCTATGCTAGTTTCATTGCTGCCGTATGGAAAATGTACACGCTGCCCGCTGACTGGGGCTACGGTCTGGTCTTGCTCCGTCATGTTCTGGGCGCCGGGCTCATTAGCTTGCAAATCTGGACCTCTGCCAGCATCTACGAGTCTCTCGGGGAGTTTGGCTGGTTCTATGGGGACTTTTTCTTCGAAGGGGCCCATAAGTTAACGTATAACGGTATTTATCGCTTCCTGAACAATCCTGAACGGGTGCTCGGTCTGGCCGGCGTCTGGGGCGCTGTCTTGATCACAAGTAGTGGCGCGATTACATTCCTGGCCCTCTTGAGCCACATTCTAAGTATGGCTTTCATCCAATTCGTGGAGCGCCCGCACATGCAGAAGCTGTATGGCCGAAGCCTGCGACAGGATGCGGGGCTGGTCAAGAGCCTGAAGCGGACCCTGCCCCCCACTCTTCGTCAGCTTCATGGAAGCGTGGACAAGATCTTCGATGATTCCTTCGAGTTTATCGAGGATCTGATCGACACCGCTCGCCCTAAACTAGCTGCCGGCGTCAATACTTTCGTCAAGGACACTACTGCGCTATTCCAGACATATCCCGCGCGTGTGACCATCTCCCGCATTGATGAGGACCTCGCTGGCTTGGACTCCCGGGACTATGCCCTGGAAGTCGAAGGCACGGATTCATCCTCTCTCGAGGAGTGCGATAAGAGTACTGGTAGAGAAGGTGCCAATGCTCGCGTGCCCCTCGACAGACGAGGCGACTTGAAGAACCTGGTCTTCGAATACGGCTCCCCGATCAAAGTCAAATGGACCGCTCCTCTGAATCACGGCAAGAAGGACTGGATCAGCTTGTACCGAGTCACGGACAATACCTCGCGTGAAGTCTCTCGCGTCTCTTCTCAAGGAAGATGGGTCGCCACAAACGAGGGTTTCTACGACAACCTCACCTGCGAGAAGGGCATCGTATCCAGCGACATTGTCACCCAAAACAGTGAGCATCGCGACGTCGCCACCGGCGAAGTCATTTTCTCAGGCGACAAGCTCTTTTGGACTCAAGGTGTCTTCGAGTTCCGTTATCACCACAATGGCAAACACAATGTCATGGCGATATCTCGACCCTTCGAGATCCGCATCCGGCGCTTCGATGAAGAATCCTTCGAAGATAACCAGGCGTCTGTCGAAAAGAGTCTCCTCCCTGTTGTCCGCAACTGCTTCGATCGTGACCCGGAAATTGCTCCCGAAACTGTGGAAGAGCAGTTTGGTAGCCTTGTAGAGCGTGACGGCAAGTTCGCTAAGAGAGTCGTCTTTGCTGTACATCAAATGTGAGTAACTATATCACTGATAGTTCCAGCGACCAATAATCAGTACGCTAATCTCTATATATTCTAGGTTCGGTATCGAATTCGCCCCTGAAGTAGTCCGAGCCGATGGGACTGTTCGGAACCTCGCTTGGAGGATCTGTAATGCGAAGCGGGTCTTGGTGAGTATTTATCCTTCCACAAATCTGTCCTTTTCAATTCTTCAATACAGAGGGCTAATAGGTCATGTTTACACTAGGCTCCTTACAGCATGACCAGAGATGGTGCTACAACGCCCACTGAGGCGCATGAGAAGGATGAAGAGTGAAGAGTGTTTCTTACTGACTGGGCGGGGTGGATAAATGCAACGCCGTTGCGACTTTTTCAGCTTATTTATCCCATTTTCTCTACTGCAGATCGAAACTCGGTCGGCTGGTGTATTACAGGAGTGAGAGACTAGTTGTGTAGTTGCATGGTGCTGCAGGAAGTCCGAGATGGGATTACAAATGATAAACAAGTGTAAATAAAACTTCACCATACATATGGCTATTCCACTTCTCTGTTACTTTTACTTTGGCTTTACGGGTACTAAAGTTGTAGGTGTAGTGGGTATGTGGAAGACAAGTATTGGTATCAAGATGAGAAGATATCATTATTTTTACTAGCTATAACAAGGCGGACAAGACGAGAGAAAGTCTGCAGGCAGACGAGAAAGTCAGCTCACGATCCACTCAAGAATGTGGTTCTGAGATATAGGGCATGGACTCTATTCCAAAAGAGAATAGAGTATATGGAAGGATCAGCCAAGCCGGGTAATTCATCCCTTCCCCTGCCAGTTCCGATCCCCCGTCAAGCCATCCAAAACGAACGACGAGGCGGGAAAAAGGCCCTGACACAAGTCAGGCACAACAAACATGCCAACGCCGACAATACAGACAACAACGATATAGCCTACCTCTCCAGGACTCCACAACCTTCCTCCCTTGAACGCCTGCACATCTTCCCAAGGGAAAATAGCGAGCGTAAGGTCCAGTATAAGGGAGATGGAAAAGTAGATCGTTGAAGTCATATGCATGACATTGTTGGATGATGCAGGCCCGAGGGGCGGTTCTCCAAGAAGATCATTGAATGGATTGACTTGTTGTCATCATCGACGTGTGGGTTTGTTGTGTTTATGGTTTGTGTGTAATCGAAAGTTATAAGCATACCTCTTCTGACGAGTCCAGGATCATGTAGTTGCGGTGTGTGCCAATGGCACTTATGATTTTACAATTCCCTAGGTAAGTCTTGAGAGCTGTCAGTAAGATTGTTGACTGAAAGCAATGAGTGGAACAAGTTGTGATGTTTGTCCAAATGGATCAGGAGTTTTTGGTAAGGTATTTTGTTTTCTTCAAGGTTTTTGCAGAAGCAGAACTGAAAAAAATGTTTCTCATCATTGGATGAATGGTCCAGGGTTGAGGCCTGGAGGGGTGTGGGAGGGGAAAAGAGGGTGGCATACCAATTAGTTTACAATGGCGGATTTGAGGTGATATAGCTATAGCTATTATCCTATAATCTTATAGCAATGTCAGCAAAGCTACTCAACCAGACATGGAAGAGAAAACATGAGGCAATTGTAGGTGCATAATCAGATGGTGATGCATGTTTGTTCAAGGCCCATTTGTTTGTCGCCAGAACTGAAAGATTTTTGGATCTTGTTCATCAAGCAAGGATAGGAAGGAAGTGAAGAAGTGGGAAAGACTCACATTATACTAGTTAGTAACAAGTTGCCAACAAAGGCAGACTTGAAATAATTGAAGTCTCAACATAAAAGACTTGCTGCTTTTCGCAAACAATCAAGCTTGTGTGGTGCGGGAGAAGAAGAGAAAGGAAAAGCGCGAGTCGAAGCGAAGAAAAGGAAAAATGGACGAGGAAAAAGAAAGCGCCGAATTCCGCGCTGCCCGCCTTGCAAACCATGCAAACATCCCTCAAAATTGTAGATGACCGCTTCTGGACATCGACAGCAGCTCTTCTTGGCCATCCAAGTTTCTGACCCAAATCTTTGTCTCGCTTCCTCAATCGCTTGTCGCGCTGGTACGAGGATGCCAAGTCATGTGTAATGACTGACAGACGAAGAATCAATGGGCCGCCTAGCGGCACGAGGCCGGCCGTTTTCGCCTCATCTCTCAAGTCCGCTTCTAGCATTTCCACCGGCAGACCACGACGTCAAAGGCAGCCGGATGAGCTTCGCAAGATCTGTAAGGAGAACTGCGATTCTTTGTTGGATGATACTATGGCTAATGTACTTTTATTCTAGTCCTGAAGACAGGTCTCATCCCTTCGGCATCTGGTTCCGCCTATCTTGAATTCGAACCCTCCGCATCACTTGCTGCTGCACGCTCAAACCCCCAATCCCTGATTCCTCCTTCCTCGGCATTGAAGCTTGCCTGTACAGTTCATGGCCCTAAGCCCCTGCCGCGCTCGGCTAGCTTTTCGCCAAACGTCGTCCTTACGACACACGTCAAGTATGCGCCGTTTGCTGCCCGCCAAAGAAAAGGGCATATCCGCGATGCTAGCGAACGGGACCTGGGTGTGCACCTAGAGACGGCACTTAGGGGAGTGATCGTTGCTGAGCGCTGGCCGAAGAGTGGCCTCGACATCACGATCACCATCCTGGAAGCAGAAGATGATCGCTGGTGGGGCGATGCACCCGACTCGCATGATGCTCCTTGGGGAATGATGAATGTGTTGGCTGGTTGCATTACCGCTGCGTCTGCGGCAATTGCTGATGCTCGAATTGACTGCCTTGATCTTGTAGCTGGTGGTGTGGCTGCCATCGTCTCCGACGAGTCAGCAGAGGGTGAAACATCCACTCCTAAGCTGATGCTCGATACGGACCCAGCTGAGCACAAGTCTATTTTGTCTGCCTGTGTCGTCGCCTACATGCCCTCTAGGGATGAGATTACGGAATTATGGCTCAAGGGCGATCATTCTAAGGCATCATTAGGCACTACTGATCAGAGTCTGAACCATGAATCTCTCATTGATGGGGCAGTGAATGCAGCTCGGGGTGCCCACACAGTGCTTGCAGAGGCTGTGAAGGAGTCTGCAGAGAGGTTTGCTGGTTTATCCGCTGGGGCAAACACGGCGTAATTGTGAACCTGATTTGTGCACATGTGGCGTTGTTCAATATCATATATCCTTCACATCTTAGCACCTAATACAATGCGCTCCCACTATGCCTCCCTTCCCACCAACCTCTTATAACTTCGTATTTCCTCGTGCTGTGCGGTTTTATCTGCGAACTGCCATCCATGGCTATTCCACGGCGACGATGTCATTGCTTGGTGAATCAGTTAACAAGGGAATCTTCGTCTCTTCATCTCTTCATCTTGTGGTCTTCTACATCTTCTATGAATTCTGCCTCCTTTCCCTCTCTTCTTCTCTCTTTCTCAACCAACCTTCTTCTACAACCCTCTCAACCGGACCAAACAAGGTGTTCGTCAAGTCAAGTCATATCACCTTGTCTCTCTACACAACATCCTGATACCTCATCCTCAACTGCTCTTCATCCACCGTAAAAATGACTAAGCCTAATCCCAACGACACTATCGTGTTCCTCTACATGTGCCTCCTGTATTCTGACTTCAGAGTTGTAAGTCTCCCCCCCTTCTACTCAATGCTCCTCTTCCCTCACCTACTAACATGCCCATCAGGTCGACTGGAAGGCTCTCAGCGAGGCCACCAACCTCAACAATGGGGCCGCTCGCATGCGTTACCACCGTCTGAAGAAGAACCTTGATGCCATCATCAAGAATGGCAAATATGACTTGAGCATCGGTTCCGCCACCACCCCAACCAAGAAGCATGCCTTGGATATGATCACTGCTACCGACAAAGAAAGCAGTGTTGAGCCTACCAGCCCCATCATCGAACACTCTGCTGGAGTCGTTAGCATCGCCAGTCTCCTTAACCCGGCATCCCCCAAGCGCAAGATGGCGGATGAGGTTGATGATGACTCCGAAGCCTCGACCATCATCGATAACAGCTTCCGCTTCATGCCCATCTACGCTCCTGTTACGCGTTCCCCCAGCTCTCAGGGTCTGATGCCAGCCGCGAAGAAGGCTAAGAAGGAGGAGTGAGGAATCGGTGTTCATTGCTTGCTTGCTTGCTCACCATATGGGAGCTCAGAGAGTCGGTATTGAATTTTAGTTTGCGGAGATGTGACCGGCTCCTTTTTTCGTTTCTCTGTTTCTTGTTATTTTCCTCTTGCTTGGGGAGTTAGTAGGTTAACTGAATCTGGACGGAAATCGGGCGTTTGGGCGTTTGTATATATTATATCTCGGGCCTTTCTCGGTTGTTCAACTGAGATGGGACTGGTTTCCAAGTGCCCTTAGTTGAATGAAGGATTTCTCGTCATACTACGGCTTTCTAATTGTAAACGGGGAGCGTAGGCTAAGATCGTAGTAGACTAGGAGGCATTATTAGTACGTGCCATTGTCTGAGGGCCTTCGAGTTTGTGTTGTTAGGACTACTGTATTTCACACCAGGAAAATCCTCCATAGTATGATCGTGATCTCTAGAACTTGCTATAGTTGTGCTGCAACATGAGTTGAATGAAAACCGGCAGTATGGTATAGTATTTTCCTTAGCAATCACCGTCCTGTGGGCAATTGTCAGAGAGAAATTACTGAAGATAGCTAGTTATATTGATATCATCATATTAGTAAGTAATTAGTAGTTAGTAAAGAAAGTGTGCCGTTCGAGTTGCTAGTATATCGAGTTCTCCACTGGACTGTGTGTATACAGAGCGGAGGCCCGATATATAGTAAGCTTAGTTATAGGCATGCACAGCATGGATTCCACCTACTACCTAGCTTGAAGGAAGACTATATAATGCATGAAATAGTACGCCACATGCAGATTAACGCAATCTCACAATGCCACTTACAATGCTAATTGTTTCCCCCCACCACCGTGAAGCACGTACATATAACAGAGCAACTATGATCATACGATCTTGTGGTTATACTTTGGTACAAACCACACAATCACCGCCACCAGGAACAGGGCCCTTGTACTAAATTAGTCGATCGATTGAGGGGCAGAAGTGAAGCGTGGATGATAATCAATCCCAGTGCGTTAGCGTCCATCAATCACATTTGTGTGATCGGAGCCGACAACTCGAGTAGGTTAGTGGTCCGGTTTAAGCATCATTTAGGCGCAATTGTAAGGGCCACTTTTTTTTTGTTTTTTATTCTCGATATTAGGTACGGTCTAGATAGGTTGGATTTTCTTGCGCGTCTGCCCCCGTCTAGTCTAGTTGGAATCATATCTCCGTTTGGAACTAATCTAAGGCTGAGTGGAGCTGTCGGAGGTAAAAGATGAGCTATGGATATGCAGGGTATGCAGTAGATGAGATTTGAGAGGTGTGAGTACGTGTGTAGGGGAGACTGACAATATCGACTATGGATACCTTGTTTATTATCGTGCGGGTATACTTTCATATCCCAGCTCCGAGGAGAAGGAGTACATGGATGACTATATGGTCCATGGATCAGTTTTTCCACTATTGAACGAGGTTTCAGTTCAGTTCAGGATAGCCATAAGAATTGGTTACTTCTGAATCTCTCTCCTCCGTAGACATAACTACTAAGCATAAAAGTTCATCGGGAAGCAGTTGGTAGCATCAACTCCCGGCCGCCGGGGATAATTCCCAGCGAGGAAAGGTCTCGTCCGGCGGGTGTCACCCGTGATTGGCTCCAGTCCCCTGACCTGTTTTTGCGGCGTTTGTCTTGTTCGGCCTTGGAATGGTCTCTCTTCCTTGTCAACATTCATTTTCTCCATCTCCAAGAGTCTCCATCATCCTATCCCACCCAGTCTCCAGTCTTTTCCGCCATGATCGCATCTTTTGATTTCCCAAGCAAGCATGGAGCTATCGCGCTTCGGCGTTTCAGCCCCTGAGATGCGCGATCTTGCTCCATTCCCCTCAATCTAAGAGGATGGTTCCATCTCCGATGCATGGTTCATAGTCATTTAAACTTCCCAGCTTGCTCGTGGTGAGCCCCCTGCGGCTTCCACTTTCCAGCGATAAACAAAAAATCAATCAAAAGAGGGGCATGTGTGACGAGAACACCGAGAGTGGAACAGCTAATTTTAAAAATGTTCCTGTCACAAAAGCAAAATAGGGATCCAACGTCGTCGTGTCAAACGGCACTGTCACATTCCTCCGTTAGTGCTGGGCTTCCAATAGCGGCCCAGGGTCGGGCATCTAACATGACCTGCCCCTGTCAATCGATACGGTGAATGGGGCGGGCTTTACCATAGTACACGCCCGGGATATGCTGATGCTCGGCTCGAACGAGGCCTTCCCGCTTAGTGACCGGGTCGTGGTTCGCTGTCGGTGGACGATCAACTACCCGATAGGTGCAAGGGCACGTTCATCCTCTCCGCGCTAATTTCATAGGTGTTCGTGTGCTCCATTCCGCGCGAATACTCGGCTTCTGACTGGTGCGCGCAGTCGGTTGGTCCATGGCCCTAAGCCGTCAACTCCTCGTCCCATGAACTCTGTACCTCCTCGACCCCGACCCACTCTGCTGTCGGCCGGCCTATGGTTACCGTATGTGCCTGGTAAATAACGTCAGGTCTGGATCTTTTGCTAATATTGGCATGATGGCGGTACTAGCTCGACCGCACGTCGTGCAGATCCAATTTCGACGCCCTCGCTGTCAGGTGGACTCGGGATTCTAGGTTTATGCATAGTGGGTATGAGGACGTTAGGGCTTTGCTCTGCTGCACGTTCTACACACTCGCCAGTCAGCACAGCTGCTTCGATTGTGTGCTGGGCACTGGCCGCTGGGATTCCACAATGGCCACGAGGAGGGGGTCCCTGTAATCTGTATAAGCACTTCAGACCGCGCCATTCGACTAGGGCAAATAACTATCGCAGAGCCATGGTCTTCGAGCGTGACCGGCGCAATGCGCATCTAGCTCGCAATTTCTTTTCACTGGTCCCCTCCCGTCCGCCGGCTCAGCCCCATCTTGTCTTGATGGATTACGGAGACCTGGACCACTTCTACCCCTGATACAGGCACGAACAATTATCGGATCTGCGAACCGGGCAGCTATCCCACGTAGACGATCCATTCTTTGTTCATCGATGCTGCTTTTCTCTTCTCTCAGCTTCCTCGCTCTCCCTCTCCCCGTCATTCTTCCTTCTCATCACTCCTTCATCCTCTCGAGTACGGAGTGCTCTTGCATTCAGCGACTTCGTTATGAGTTAGACGTTATCATGACAGCAGCTCTAGATTACATTCCTTTCATCCATTCATCTTCTCCGATCTGATCGTCATCACCATCCCTCGAGAAGCTCGTATTCTAACATTCGAAAGTCTTGTCGCATTGTTACTATAAACATATCTCCGCACGTACTTGATCGTTGCCACACACATCACAGCCATACCAAATCTATCCATATGGTTTAGCTGCAGCTGGTGACACCATTATGGTTGCCTTCAAGCGATTCTTCCATGCGGAGAAATCTTCGCCGGCAAATTTGGACGGCCAAGAAGCTCGGGCAGGCAGTCTAGGAGGCGATGATCACGGCTTGCCCAACATGAAGACATCCCGGCGCATGGCCGCGGGAGCTCATGACCAGACGCCTGCAGAGCAGTGTGAAGTAACGCACACTCAGCTACAGTCAAGGCCCCTATCCTCTCGTTCGCATGCGCCTCCATCTCGGGCATCAACTCGCCCTCCGGGGAAGGTCACCCGGCACGTTGATCTGCTTGATGCTTTGTTCTCCTCGCACCGGTATCATATCCAAAGCAGCAGCACCTTGTCGCCGATCACACCATACAATGAAGACATAGCCGAACGGAACATGGCTCCCTTCTTAAGAGGACTGGCGCTCAAAAACGCCTACTCGCATCCGGTCTCAAGTCTGTATCAGGAAGACGTAGCAGACCGGAATATCTCGAGTAGAGGCAGCAGTCGCTCCATTCCCCGCAGTACTAGCTCGCGCTCTCAAGCTACACCACCTCGTTCCCGGCAGGGATCACAGAGGTATGTAGATAATACTAGGGATCGTCCGCAGTCACGGGGGAAAAGCACGCGGTTGGCGCGGTCAACCTCTCCGGAGAGTTCGGTCTCTGTACCTCAATTGCGTACTGAGGAGCGCCCTGGCTCTTCGAGGGAAGGCGCCTTCCAGAGAAGCTCCCTGCGATCTCAACGGTCTGCCCCTGACTTGCTGGCTGAACGGATCAATACGCCTAGGGAAGAATCAGTTTCGGGTTCAAATGGATACTTGGGCATCCCTCCTGCTCACAAACAAGGCGACAAGTGGAGCAATACGCCCCTACCTGATAGCCCAACACTACCACTATCTATTGGTAGTGACAGTACGAGCGAGACTGAATCCTTTCAGGATACACAGAGCACTCCAGCATCCCCTCGTCAAGGAAGCAAGAAGAACATCCGAGACCTTTCTATTAACACAAAGCTAGCAGCTCGAGGAAGTCCAACTGCGAAAATTGCACATCGGGCGATACAGCCGCCTACTCCCAGTGCTGTCGATCCCAAGCAAGCTCCTAGCATTGCGGAGGTTATGAACAGCCCTCTCCCTGTGGGAACACCAACATCCATCGCCTCCATGCCTCCGTCCAACGACAAAGTCATCGAGATTATGGACATGTTCAGGCAGGCTTTTGCTTCGACCCAAGAGGTCACACCACACCCTACCTTTGAGAGTCTCCAAGATGCTATTGTCAGGGAGATCAATTCTCACGAGGCCTTTCAGCGCATTTCCTTCCCCACTGAACCCTCACTCACTCCTTCGCCGTCTCAGGAATCCTTTGACAGGGCTCCTCATGTGCCATTGTGCCCCGCGCCTGGTTTGGAACGGAGCTCCTCTTCAAAGGAAGGACAATTCTCGAAACTCATCCGCAAAAGCTCCTTCAAAAAGCACAAGAGAACTCCTGAGCAGCGCAGAAGCATCTCCACGAGCGTTCCCGTGACGACTCTCCGGGCCACACAGACAACAAGTCGACGCAGGCACACTGATGCTCCTCTCCCCTCCCCAGGAGTTCTCGGCAACAGGGAGACGAAGCAGCAAAAGATGGAGAGCCCTCAGGAGGAAATGACCTACATGGATCTACTTCAATCGTTCCGCCAACCTCCAAGCAACTCAGGCCGCACTGTATCCATGAGAACCAACTCGTCTCATGGCAACCTAACGAACATGAGCGGTGCCCCATCAGTCCTCCGCATGCGCGCGCAAGCCTCCCCAGTTAGAATTAGCCAGATCAGCTACTCAGAAGACGACAGCGACGACGAAGAAATCATCCAACTACCCAGCGTTGGCGGGACACCGCACGTCTGCATCCAGGGTGTCGATCAGAACAACGTCACCTACATGGCTAGAAACACGACTCCGCGCAACGCCTACCGCCTCATGAACTGGCCGCGGAAATCAAGTCCCAATGCGTACAGCAAAAATGCCCTTTCCAGCGAGCGGATCCCTTCGCGAACTTCGTCCAGAAATGGACAGCAGTTCTAAGTCACCGCACTGGGTGCAGACTCGTTGACTGCTGCTTTCTTGCTAATGCTTCACTCTCTTGATACCCCATACCCCTCCCTCTTTGACAATGATACCCCTTGTTCCCAAAAGAAAACAGCACCATCATGTCCACTCCCTTTACAACCTAAAATCGTTAATCCGCTCCTTCCGTCCAATCATTTGATATGATAGTCTCATGCAATACATGCAGACTAAACACATTTCGATCTCTACAACCTCACGCGCTCTCTCATCTTTTCTATACAACCACAGTCCTTTCACTTTGCATACGGCATCCAGCTTTTCATCTCTTATTCGGTCACTTCATCACTCATTCCTTACTCTCTGCACGGTTTTCGCATATTTTCTCTACACTGCATCTCTCATTTTCAAGCGTCCTAGCGCTCACTCTTCTGTATCCTTCTCTGTCACATTCCCTTTCTCTTTCCGTTTATTACCAGCGACAGTTTAAATAGGCAGCCAGTCCTTGTCATCTATCAGCTGAAAAAAAGAAAATAATATAATACAATCATACTAAAATAAAAGAGACTATATCAAAAACAAATTCTTTCAATTCAACTCGCTAGCTACTGAAACGACCTATATCTGACTCCCCCGATGGTAAACCGATGAAAGGTATCTCAAGGAATATCATATCTGCCCCACCCAACTCGCATCATCCATGCAATTGTATGCATCTAAACTCCTGAATTTCACTTGTTTCTTTTTTTTTTATTTGTTCTTTGTCTTTTCTGAAGACGCTCGTGGATTTCTTTTTAGGGTCCCTATGTCGAACTCAACGTGAAACTGTATTGGCAGGAATGGAAAAGTCATAACAGTCATAGGAAGGAAGGAAACTGGATGATAGAGAATTTTTTAGGGGAAAAAAAATATATTGAAACATCCGGATCCAACACGTTAGTAGTAGTAGATTGCGTTTAGTACGAGCCTGTTGGGATGATTGTGTTAGATATATTGTGGGTGAAGTAGGGGATCTGGATATGAACTTACGTCCGAACATGCACCACTTCTCGGCGAAGCGGGTGCAGTGGGGGTTGGTACACTTGGTCTCGCCGGGGACGATGCCCTCGGGCTGGTCGAAGGGAATGCAGAGAGACTTGGCACCCATGCTAGGAGCGCGGGCATCCTGGGGAACACCGGAGTCCTCCTCGTGCTTGCGGGCACTCAGGTCCTTGATCTGGTCCTCACACTCCTCGGTCAAGCAGTGGGGGATCAGGCAGACGTTCTTGTCGTTCAGGGCGGGGGTGAAGTCATCCCAGTTGGTGATGATCTTGCGGTGGGAGCGGTACTCGGCGTCGGCGCGGTTGTACAGGTCCTTCTGGATGGTTTCCAGGAGAGCGGGCACGGCGGTGGACAGCTCGGAGATCTGGATGGGAGCCTTGCCGTCCTTTCCGGGGACGTCACGACGAGCAGCGGTGACGAAGCCGCCGGCAAGCTCGCCAGGACCGAACTCGAGACGCAGAGGGACACCGCGGAGTTCCCACTCGTTGAACTTCCAGCCGGGGGAGTAACCTTCTCTCAGATCGCTCTCGGCGCGGACGCCGGCGTCGCGGAGGGTGGAAACGAGGCGCTCAACCTCGCCGTAGAGCTTCTTGCGCTCCTCATCGGTGGTCTTGGCGGTGATACCGACGGGGACGATGATGGTCTGGGTGTCAGCGACACGAGGAGGGAGGACGAGACCGCGGTTGTCACTGTGGATCATGACCATGACACCGAGGGTACGGGTGGACAGACCCCAGGAGTTCTGCCACACGTGGAGAGGAGCGGCCTTCTCCTTGTCGTCGCTCTTGGCGGAGGGGTCCTCGACGGTGATACCGAACATCTTACTGAAGTTCTGGCCCAGACCGTGGGAGGTACCACCCTGGATACCACGACCGGTGGCGGGGATGTAGCCCTCAACGGTGGTGGTGTAGAGACCACCGGCGAACTTCTCCTTCTCGGTCTTCTGACCCTTGACAACAGGAACAGCCAGAAGTTCCTCGTAGATACGAGCATAGAGGTCGAGGATTGTCATAACCTCCTCGTGAGCACCCTCCTTGGTCAGGTGGGCTGTGTGACCCTCCTGCCACAGGAACTCTCTGGTTCTGAGGAAAGGCTGGGGGTGCTTGAACTCCCAACGGACGACGGAGTTCCACTGGTTGAGCTTGAGGGGCAAGTCACGGTGACTTCTGATCCACTTGGCGTAGTAGGGGTACATGACAGTCTCAGACGTGGGACGGATAGCGATCTTCTTCTCCAGAGGGGTGGAACCACTGTAGCAGAGAGGGGGTTATCAGTGACTTGTCTATATGAGGGTGTGTCTAGAGATAAGGAAACATACGCGTGTGTCACCCAAGCGACCTCAGCAGCAAAGCCCTCGATGTGGTCCTTCTCCCTCTGCAGCACATCCTCAGACACGAAAAGAGGGAAAGAGCAGTTCTTGACGCCCATCTTCTTGATGTAAGTGTTGAACCACTGCTGGATCTCCTCCCAGATGAAGTAGGAAGCGGGCTGGCGCAAATCAGTACAGGTCGTCGACGAGTTCCCGGGCGAACAGGACAACCCACCTTGAGAATGAAGCATCCGGAGACATCGTAGTAGTCAAGCATATCACCCTTGGTCAGGACCTGCTGGTACCAACCAGGGAAATCCTCCTCCTTGGCGACATCAATACCGATCAGAGCAGCGCCCTCGATCTTCTTCTTGGGAGCCTTGGCAGCGGGCTTCTTGGCCTCCTGCTTGCCAATTCCCTTGTTCGCGGCCTTCTCAGCCTTGTCGGCGGCCTGCTTGGCCAGCTTAGCAGCCTTCTTTGCGGCGTTCTTGGAGACCTCTCCCTGGGGAGCATCGGCATCGGCGGGGTTCTGGGTGCGATCAGGAAGGGTCTGGGCGGCGGGGGCCTCGACAGGGGCCGCGGCGTCAGCGGGGGTTTGGCTTGCCATGTTGAGAGGAAGACAACGGTCGCGCAAACAGCAGAGGAGGACCGGATACGAAGGGAAGGCGAAGATAAGAGGAAGATCTGGGGCGGGAAGAGGGGTTGAGTCAAAGTGGGATGCATCTGCAAATCTTCACCGCCCGGGGCCGGCAGAACTTTTAGTGCAAACATTCGAGGCGAACGTCCAGCGGCTTCAGGCATTTGGCTGTCGGAGCTTGTCTTTCCCCCTATTTCCTACATCTCCGTCTGTTTCACCATCATGGCAGGCATCTTTGAGCAGCCGCGGAATGCGGACACCCTTTGTGAGTCCCCTCCCCAACCCCCAATCCCCTTCCCCTGACAGCTATCACTAACCAGTCTCGCACAGTCTTGGGGGGGCAGAAAATCACCGGCGCTGATGTGCGGGAGCAGAACGGTATGAACTGATGGATTCTTCTCGTCCAAGGAGGTGGATGCTGATGATGATGTAGTCCTTGCTACGCAGGCAATCGCCAATGTTGTCAAGAGCTCTTTCGGTCCGTCCGGTCTGGACAAGATGATGGTGGATGATATCGGTGTACGCATCACGTTTCGACCCCGCGTTCAATATAGAGCAGCTCCCTGATGGTTTAATAGGATGTCACGGTTACCAATGATGGTGCAACGATTTTGAGTCTTCTCGATATCGAGCACCCCGCTGGAAAGATTCTCGTGGATTTGGCCCAACAACAGGATAAGGAGGTCCGACCCCCCGCTCCTTGTGCTCCACACCCTGTCTTCCTATACACACGATGCTGATATCAGTCTAGGTCGGTGATGGTACTACCTCCGTCGTTCTCATTGCTGCCGAACTCCTCCGCCGCGCCAACGAGCTGATGAAAAACCGCATACACCCTACAACCATCATCAACGGTTACAGGCTAGCCCTGAGGGAAGCTGTCAAGTACATGAACGAGAACATCACCACAAAGGTTGAGACGCTTGGAAAGGACAGTTTGGTCAACATCGCCAAGACGTCCATGTCCAGCAAGATCATTGGCTCCGATGCCGATTTCTACGCCAACATGGTCGTTGATGCCATGCAACAGGTCAAGACCACCAACCAGAAGAACGAGGTCAAGTACCCCGTGAAGGCTGTCAACCTGCTCAAGGCTCACGGAAAGAGTGGTCGCGAATCCATTCTCGTCAACGGCTATGCCCTTAACTGCACCGTCGCTTCCCAGGCCATGAAGACTCGGATAACCGACGCGAAGATTGCTTGCTTGGACATGAACTTGCAGAAGGAGAGAATGAAGCTTGGCGTTCAGATCACAGTCGACGACCCCGATCAGCTGGAGAAGATCCGTGAGAGAGAATCTGGCATCGTCCTCGAGCGTGTGGAGATGATCCTCAAGTCTGGTGCCAACGTCGTCTTCACCACCAAGGGTATCGACGACATGGTTCTCAAGCTCTTCGTTGAGAAGGGTGCCATGGCTGTCCGCCGTTGCAAGAAGGAAGATCTGAGACGTATTGCCAAGGCCACTGGCGCTACCCTGATCAACACCCTCTCTGACCTCAACGGTGACGAGAAGTTCGAGGCTTCCTACCTGGGTCACGCCGAGGAAGTCGTCCAGGAGCGGATATCCGACGACGAGTGTATTCTTGTCAAGGGCACCAAGGTTCACACCTCTGCCTCCATCATCCTGCGAGGCCCCAACGACTTCAGCTTGGACGAGATGGAGCGTTCCGTACACGACTCCCTGTGCGCCGTCAAGCGTACTCTGGAGAGTGGTAGCATCGTACCCGGTGGTGGTGCCGTCGAGACGGCTCTTCACATCTACCTCGAAGAGTTCGCAGTCACAGTGGTATGTATCCCACAAAGTCCTCAGCCCCATCTCAATCCTGCTCAGCACTAACTCCACTTCCAGGGCTCCCGCGAGCAACTCGCCATCGGCGAATTCGCCCAATCCCTCCTGACCGTCCCCAAGACCTTGGCCGTCAACGCCGCCAAGGACTCCTCCGAGCTCGTTGCCCAGCTCCGTGTCCGCCACGCTCTCTCCCAGCGCGTCCAGGAAGGTGACGCCAACGAGGAAGAGAAGGCTATCGCCAAGAAGAAGACGTACCGCAACTACGGTCTCGACCTGACAAAGGGCCGTGTTCACGACGCCCTCAAGGCCGGTGTTCTGGAGCCCAGCATGGGTAAGATCAAGCAGCTCAAGAGTGCTGTCGAGGCTTGCATCGCCATTATGCGTATTGATACCATGATCAAGTTGGACCCTGAGAGGCAGGAGGATGATGGCCACGGTCACTAATTTATGTAGTCTTGTTTTACGTATGGGGAGTTCTCCTTGCTTTCTTCTAGACCTTTGTGTGGCGAGGGCTGAGAGAGAAAAAGTATAATAAGATGTTCATGAGTACAAATTTACTACCTTATTAAACTAGTATTGACGTATATATTTCTCCTGGTCTAGTCTTCTTGTTGTAGGTTTATGCTACTTGTGGCAATGCCCAAGGGTGGGTGGTAAATCGATTTATTACGGTGTATTAATCACTTCAAAGCACGTAACATATGTAAAGCAGCAGCAGTAGTAGCAGCAATGTTCAATCACAATAAGATAAAACCGAAGTCCTCGTTGCCATGCAATAAAATCCGACGCTATCAAACACAAAACAGCACGGCACCTAAAAAAGGAACAAAACAATCCAAAACACCCCGCTAAATCAAACATCTATGCTTCTTCCGACGCCATACAATGCATGCAAACCCGGTGAGCCGTAAAACAAAAAAGAAACAAAACAATTATGTAGTCCTTCGAATGGGTCATTCTTCGTCGTCATCATAGGAGTCTGGCGTTTCCGCCCAGCCACAGCGCCATCTCTTTCCTTCTGCCTCACCACTGGTTCTAAGGTCTCGGGCTTCAGGTCCTTCGCGCCAGCATCGAGCGGTGTAGTCATCGCTGACGGTGACAAGTTCGCCGTCGGCGGTCCATGACACGGCGGAGACTTCCTTCACATGGCCCCCGACTAGGGGTGTTCCGGACTGGTAAATGGGGATGGTGTCTTCTACTCGTCCTGAGTAGGCACGACGGAGACCGGAGCGGGTGGCTGATGATGGCATCGGGGGAAGGAAATCATCCTCGGCGGTTGTCTTATGATCATTGGAGAGGAATCGCTCATCTGTTGGGAAGAGGACGGAACAGTTATCGGCACTCCCAGCAGCTAGCATCTCTGGCTTGTCACCGGTGGCTTTGCGAACCCCAACTTTAACATAGAAGGTTGCAACTTGAAGACGCGGATGACGGAAGCCATATAAAGGTCCTAACCCTTCCTTGTCAGACCCACCGGTGCGACGTGGTCGATTGTTGTTCAGAGAAAGCTCGGGGGCACTTCCCAGGACCAAATGTGACGTTGAGTAGGTGTATACAGTGCCGTCCCGACACAGCGTGTATAGTCTTGCACCATCTCCGCCTAAGGCCATTGATGTGACAGCAAAGCCCCGATACTTAATGTGGCTATCCGGCTGTCTGGTAGTAGCCAAAGGAAGAACTGGACGGCCACGGCGGTTGTTGTGTGCCGTACGCAGATCCCACAGCCTCACGCAGGAGTTCGTGCTCGAAGCCGTGACGAAGAGGTTCTCGCGACCTTGCGGAAGGAAGGCCAAAGAGGTAACGGTAATATCTGAACGGCGAATTTGCGGTTCCATTTTCTCTGGTGACATGCCGGTTTGCGACGTCCATGCATGAGCGCCGTGAATAGTACTCAATACCTGAGGGAAGGCGGTCTTGGAGGTGATGGAGCCAGCAGTAATTTCTGCGTCAGATTCAAGCGAGCACCGCGCCTGCAGGCTCGGTCTGTCGAACCCTTTGCATCGAAGATCCCATATATTGACATTGCCATCACGACTGCAGGTCGCAAGAACTTTGTTATTGGCCGCTGGTTGGAACTGAACCTGCTTGACGGAGGACACATGGTTGGATAGGCAATACACCGGCGTCTGAGTGGCCATATCGATGACCAGTGCTGTTTGGTCTCCAGAGGCTGTCGCCAGTAGCATATCATCGGACGAAAACTGCAGGTCCATGATCGAGTTCGTATGTGGGCGGAACGTAAGGTATGCTCGAGAAAAGCCGCTCTTGTCGTCTTTGGCAGAATCCAACAACCGAATGCCTCCCTCCTCATCTCCTACTGCAATAAGACTATTGGCTGTGGAGCCGGTTAGTAAGTACACACAGACAGAAAGCAATCCTGTTGTCACCCACTATTGCATGCAGCAGTGCAGAACGGCAAGACGTAGCGGTCACCGGAAATATTCGCACAGTTGTGACTGTCGTTTGGTCGAGAATAGAAGTTTGACGTCAGGTCCTGCCAGCCTTCATGGATTATGAGTATACCGTCACGAACATAGGGGGATGTACAACCTACCAGCTCCTGAATTAGACCGCATAGTCACTCTATTGGCCCGAGACCCCGAAAGGCTTCGCATATACAACGCTCCGGAGGATTGCAAGGCCTGCGACCGGCGAACTGGGAGAACCTGTCGAGGAGGTTTTGTAACAGCATTTGGCTTGACATCATCATCCCTCGATTCGATCTTGAGCTGGATGTCTCGAACTGGTACAGCTACTTCTTCGTCATTCTGGACTGCATGGCGGACCTGGACTTTTTTAAGAGGTGACGACTGCAAGGGAGAGCCAATTGAAGAGAAAGAAAGCTTCCGTTTCCGGGTCGGTGTTCGTGTGAAGTCAGGTGCTTCTGGTCTATGTTCAACGGCTTTGGATGTCCTTGTAAAGGCGGGCCCAAGGCGATTGACGGCAGGGGAGCTGAGGGCTTTCAAAGCCTGGCGATTGGTTCTCACTGAGCTTGCACTATTCCCGCCATCCAGCATGGAACGAGGCGTGAAGAACCGTCTAAAAGATCGTGGAGTGACCGGGGGAGGCTTCTTGGGCTTGCGTCGGTAGCCAACGTCGGACGCTATCGAGGGCGGCGAGGAGGGAAGCTCCTGGGATGTTGTAGGAGGAAAGACGGGCTCAGACCGAGGTACTTCGGGGA